GGGTGTATGCCACCATGGTGCAAGAAGAAAGGGTGAGAACAATCACCAGGTCTAAAGAAGAGCGAGGAATGATCGTGGGAATGGCTATGCGAGCGAAAACCAGGAACAAGTTGCGCAATGAAGCGAAAGAAAAATCGAGTTGTTTGCATGCGGTGTGGAAGGAAGGGACATGACAAAGGCAATTGCTTCGAGATCATTGGTTACCCAGAATGGTGGGGAGAGAGACCACGAGCCGATAGAAGCGATGAAAAAAAATCAACAAAGAACGAGGAACCTTCGAGGGAAAGGAGGAACGACTCGCGTCAATATGGCGCACCTCTGGTGCGGATAACGTTTGTTCAACGAAAAACCGGAAGTAGTAGGGCTGAGTAATGAGCGATGGCGAGATCTTGGCAGCAATGTTGAATTCTCGCAAGGCAAATGAAGCTGAAAAGATGGCTGGTAAGAAAGCATGTGACTTGTGGATTATTGATAGTGGCGTCTCTAATCATATGACAGGAACACTAGAAAACTTGAGGGAGAGTCGAGCCTTGGAAGGGTGCCCAGTGGGACTACCAAATGGTGAATTGGTGCTTGGCAAACAAAGAAGGATCAGTTTTCCTTGATGGAGGACTGAAACTTAAACATGTTTTATATGTTCGAAATTGAATTGCAATTTGATTTCGAGTATCACAATTGATGAATGAAGTAAAATGTACGGTACATTTCTCGATAGATTTTGTGCAATGCGGGACCACACTTCGAGGATGCTGATTGGAGCGGGTGAACGAAAAGAGGGACTCTATTGGTATCGTGGTGTGAGTGGCATAAAGGCGTATCGGACCAATGCGAGAAAATCAACTAGAGATTTGGCACAAGCGAATGGGACATCCTGCCTACCAGATTGTTAGAAAAATTCCGCATCCGAACAGCGTGAATAGAAATACGGATACAACTCGTGTGTGTGAAGTGTGTGAGAGATCAAAGCAATGCAGAAACACATTTCCTTTAAGTGATTTTCAAGCATCCAATATATTTGATTTAATACATTGTGATTTATGGGGTCCATATAGAACTCCCTCGTCTTGTGGTGCATCTTACTTTCTCACTTTGGTTGATGACTTGTTCTTGAGCTGTGTGGATATATCTCTTGAATAATAAGAAAGATGTGTCACAAACCTTAATGCATTTCATCGCTTTAATAGAACGACAATACGAGAAACAAGTCAAAATATTACGAAGTGACAATGGAAGCGAGTTTATGTGTCTTCAACGATATTTTCAGCAACATGGGATACTCCATCAAACCTCATGCACTTGGAACACCTCGGCCAAAATGGGAGAGCCGAACGAAAACATCGACACATCCTAAATGTAGCTCGTGCTCTACGATTTCGGGGAGAACTTCCACTTCAATTCAGGGAGAATGCATTTTGACCGCGAGGATACTTGATCAATCGTACACCCTCAACCGTTCTCCATGGAAAAACTCCATATGAAATATTGAATGGGAAGCCACCCACTTATGACCATCTACGGGTATTTGGATGCTTGTGTTATGCACATAACCAAGATAGGAAAGGTGACAAATTTGCAAGTAGAAGTCGCAAGAATGTATTTGTTGGATATTCAATCGGACAAAAGAGTCTGGAAATTGTTTGATCTGGAAGAGAAGTCTTCGGACTTCGAGAGATGTTAAGTTTGTAGAACATGAATTCCGTTTGCCTCTCTTGCCCACGGTAGACATTCAGAGGTAGGATTGCCTACTGTTGATGTTGGCATTGTCGAGGAAGCATTGCCTGGACTTGGTGCAATGAACAATGCGAGAACACGTTGTGGAGGCTGATGGCGTTAACCCCACAACAGAAGATGTGCCCACAAGCGAGTTCGGGGAGGGCCACGGCTGAATGCCATGAACAAGAGCCTCCCACCCGGATCGTTCTCCCACAGAACAAGCCGACTCTATGATGACAGAACTAGAGGTTCCTGAGGAGCATACTTGTCCACTGCATCCCTGGGGAAAGGTCTTCGTGTACGAAAGCCATCTGTGAAGCTTCGTGATTATGTCACTAACACCACTTTACAACTCGGTCCCTCAATTCGCACTCCACATTCGAGCTTCCTCGGGTATGCCTTACGGCTTGACAAAGTACTTAAATTGTGCTAAATTCTCCTTCCCCCATAGAACCTTTCTTGCGGCCCTTCATGCGGAGCGAGAACACTGTGCATTTCTTTGAAGCTGTTCGGGATGTTAGATGGAGAGATGCCATGGCTAGTGAAATTCGGGCCCTCCAAAGTAATGAAACATGGGACATTACTCCTCTACCGCGAGGAAGAAACCTCCGGGTTGCAAGTGGATTTATAAAATCAAATATCATTCCGATGGGAGCGTTGAACGCTTCAAAGCCCGATTAGTTGTCTTGGGAAATCACCAAGTTGAGGGGATTGACTATGACGAGACCTTTGCCCCAATGGCAAAGATGGTCATCATTCGGAGAGTGTTGGCAGTGGCAGTAGCCAAAGACTGGGAACTCCATCAAATGGATGTCCATAATGCTTTTCTGCACGGCGATCTTGAGGAAGATGTGTACATGAAAATGCCGCCAGGGTTCTTGGTGTCTCAAAAGGGTATGGTGTGTCATCTCCGCAAGTCCCTTTATGGTCTTCGTCAAGCTCCTCGGTGTTGGTTTGCCAAGCTCTCAACTGCTCTTGTTCAATATGGGTTTCAACGTTCTTCGTCCGATCACTCCTTGTTCATCTTTCGCAAAGGAGATGTCGAAGCTGGTTGTGTTAGTTTACGTGGATGACCTAGTCATTGCTGGCAATCATCATGAAGACATTGCGCAATTCAAAGATTATCTTCATCAATGTTTTCGTATGAAGGACTTAGGGAAATTAAAATACTTTCTTGGGGTGGAGGTTGCCGGATCTCCTACAGGAATTTTCTTGTGTCAACGGAAGTATGCGTTGGACATCATAGCTGAAGCAGGATTGCTTGGAGGGAAACCTGTGTCCACGCCAATCGAAGAAAATCATCGTTTAGCATTGGCTGATGGCGAACTACTTTCTGACCCGAGTCAATATCGACGTCTCGTCAGTCGCCTTATTTACTTATGTTTTACACGACCTGAATTATCTTACAGTGTTCATGTCCTATCTCAATTCATGCACCAACCGCGTCAGGAGCATTGGCGGGCTGCACTCGCGTGGTACGCTATTTAAAGGGCAGCCGGGTCAGGGTGTGCTTTTAAAAGAGAGAGTGACCTTCGTCTTTATGGTTGGTGTGACTTCGGACTGGGCAAGTTGTCCTCTCACTCGAAGATCTCTCACCGGTTGGTTTATTTTCCTTGGTCAATCCCCGTTTCCTGGAAAACCAAGAAGCAACATACGGTTTCTCGATCATCCGCTGAGGCGGAATATCGTTCTATGGCCAACACGACATGTGAGTTGAAATGGCTTCAAGGCCTTCTTTCGAGCCTAGGCATTACTCACACCGACCCTATGACTCTCTACTGTGACAACCAAGCTGCCCTTCACATTGCCAAGAATCCTGTGTTTCATGAACGGACAAAACATATTGAAGTGGATTGTCATCTTATTCGTGATGAAATACAACACAATCATATCCAACCCTCCTATGTGTCCACTCATCATCAACTGGCTGATCTCTTCACCAAATCTCTTGGCGCCACTAAATTTGGTTCTTTTTTAGGCAAGTTGGGCATTCATAACCTTCATACTCCATCTTGAGGGAGGGTGATAAACATAGAATATACGATTACAAATACCGTATCATGCCATGATTCTACATGATTATTTTTTCCATATTTAGCTTGGCATGACAGCGATGCACATTAATTTCATATCTGTTAATAGACAAATTTAGGATACCGACTATAATGGTTAGCGTAATTATAGCCTAGAATGTTTCTGTATTTCATGCATATATTGTGCTATCATATTCAATACAAGGCAGGGGTTTTCGGAAATATTTTTATCATAAGTTATGGATAAAAGAGTTCTGTTTATTGGTTCCATTCGTTTTTTTCATTCGAAACAAATGGATTTTTTTTATCTAGAATCATATATATATATATATATATATATATATATATATATATATATATATATATATAATCTTTCACTGATTTTATTTTAATTTATTAGACTTTATTTTATTTTTAAATATAATTATAAAAAACCCTAAAAAAGTAAATTGAATAAAAATATAAATTTCTAAAATAAATTATAATGAAAATTCTTAATGACTGCGGAATTGGTGATTTATTTTTTTAATTTTGAATATTAAAAAAATTAATATCTTCTATAAAAATAATTCTCTCTCTATATATATTGTTTAAAAAGTATATAAATATTTTATAAATTTTAATACTAATATATTTATTGAATTTGATCCCAATTATCCTGGTTCTTCATGCTTAGAAATTCCATTGAATAAATTCATATGAATGACTTATTTACGTTGTTAAATTTAGTTTTATTTTTTAGATTTTAAAAATCAATTTTTTAACATAAGTTGAGAAACAAAAATATATGTATTAACTTCAATTTAATAATTAGATGGAGGAGAGTGACACCAACTACCAGAAAGAGTTAGCAGAAGTTGAGAGATAACTTGAAAGAACAAAAGTAAGTGATATAATACAACACTAACTGAAACATACGTATTATTAATAAAATAAAATAAAAAATCAAAACAGAAAACACTTTTTTTCTTCAGTTTTGAATTTTTTATTTTATTTTTTAATTCTCCCCCGTAACCTATCTACAACAAGATGCTATGAGTCACACAGGCACAAATTAATTATATAATAAAACCCATTACAAGTAATGTGGTCCAATTTAATATTGTAGTGTCTTTCTTTGGTATAATGCCACGTTAATCTCTAACATTTCAATTGGGTGGTGAGCTATATGGATTAGTATATAAGGGTTGAGAATTTGGTCATGTAACCACATCCCAAACCTAGTGAAATTGGCAAAGGCAAAAAATTTAGATCATGAGCAAGTTTGTTCTAATTTTCCTATTCCTGGGATTTCTTAACTGTGAAGCACAGTATTTCAATCCCAACTCATACGATTATTTAGAACTAGCCTTAAAGTGGCCGAACTCCTATTGCTTGACACATGATGGTGGTTGCAGGGACATAGTGCCCCAATATTTCACTATTAGCTCCCTTCGTCCCAGGAAAAGAGGAGGACCTGATATGCAAAATTGTCCCACGCCACTTAATCTGCAAGATACCACTGTTTGTACTCTTTCATTCCCTTCTGTTTAAATATTTTATGTGGATGATCTTCAAGTTTCCTTGTTTTGAACTTTGATTAGAACAAAGGTGTATCTGGATACATTTTTATGTTATCGTCATATTTTTATGGAAAAGTTTATTGGAGTTTGTCACTGGATAATTGCATGATTGGTGCACATGCAGATTGAGGCAAACAAAAATGACCTGTTGAAGTTTTGGCCTGATTTGAGAACTGATAATTATATAGAAAGCAAGTCATTATGGAGGGATCAATGGAGAAGGTTTGGTTCATGCTATAGCATGCTGCCAAATGACTATATTGTTTATGCAATCAACGGCAGAAAAAGAAATGATCTAAAGAAAATTCTGACTAGCGCAGGTAAACGTGAAATTTAAATTCATGTTTGGGAAACGAATAAAACATGGTATAGCCGATCATAAAGGGAGTTAGGTGATCATTGATCTATCTTATTTAGTCTTAACTCAATGGATCAACCGGCACGAGATGACATATTTAAAAAAGTATATTTATATATAAAAATTAAAATAAAAGAATTATAATTAAAAATATTATAATTTTTGTATATTTATAAAATACATAAATATATTATAATTTAAATCATAAATACTATTCAATTAAACTTAAATTATTGATTATAATTAAGTATTTTAATATATAAATATAGTAATTTTTTAATTTATCTAATAAAAATATTAATTAATAAATAAAAATTTAAAAATTATTCATATAATTATGTTAAAAAATTAATATAAAAAATTATATATAAAGAAATATATTGACAGATTCACTCATCACCTCACTCATTGATAAAAGGGATTAAAATATGTAAACTATCTTAATTATGATAGATAAACTCCATTTATCTATTTTTTTATACTAAATATGAAACATATCAAAACAAAGAAACTAACTCGTTTTATCGTCATATTAAAATCTAACCGGACTAAATTGCACTTTAAGTAAAAAGTAGAAAAACTAACTATAAAAACTTATAAATTTAATATTTTAAAATTTTAAATTAATAAGATATATTCTTTTATACTATTATTTATTATATTATATGAAATTCGAAAATATCTGAAATATCAAAACCGATAATTCCTGAAATGTAGGAGGTGATGATCCTAAATATGTATGCAATGGTGTTGTTATTGTCAGGTATTGTTGCGAGTGGAAATCCATATCCAACACGTAGAATACTGCAAGCTTTCAGGAAAGCTTTGGGTGTGAATGTGGACATAGTGTGTGAGCCAGACAGAAGTGGCAATGTGTATCTTGCTGAGGTTCATCAATGTGTTGATGTTGCTGGAACAACGCCTATAGATTGTTACAATATAGCAAGAGGATGTGACGATGACCCCATCTTTCCTTACATGGGATTTCAACCAGACAAAGATCCCAAATAATAATACCATGTAATCATGCACAATCTCCTCCTAATTGTATTACCCCCTGCAACAAATATGCATACAAAATAAGGGCTTCTATGTGTATGCCAACAAAATATAATCAATAAAATATTTAATAAAATTTTGAAAAAGTTTTTCAAATAACTGCGAAGCAATTCACTTTACCCGAGATATCTACTATTTTAATTTAGAAAACTAGTTATGATGAGATGCTCAATAATACATTTGTACTTTTGAAGACATCGTTTAATAAGGGCTTAAATAACATACTTTTAAAAGGTGGAGGATTGAATTTATAGACTAAATATCTTAGTTAAATAATTGTTTTGTTTATATATTTTATTATATATATATATATATTAATTAAAGTAGAAATGAAAAATTAAGAAGATTTAAGTTTTGATTTTAAAGTATTTGACTTAGTTCTAAATAAAATTTTCGGTGAATTAGAGGCAAAATATTATATATTGAAAAGGAGTACTTTGTTCAATGAAGTTATAAACCATTGAGCGAAAGTATTAAAGTTAACTAAATAGCATTTTCGCTTTATGTTATGCTCAACCGAAAGTTGTAGACAAGTAATTCTACAAAATGACAAATCAGTTTCAAATTTCTGTATATTATTGTTTATGGGTGTTGAATGTGTGTTGTATTACTTTTCGTGTTAAATAGGACTTAGCATAGATTAATTTGTAACTTAGCTTTCATTTTCCAGTGTCGCAAACTTAAATTCGTGCAATTTATAACTTCTACTATTTCTATTGTTTTATTATGACTTTTTATAATCTTAGGTTAGTTTTCTAATATAAATTGTGTATTAATGATTAAATTTGGTTTATTCATGATTATAACATTTATAATTCAATGTAATAATTTATAGTTGAGTTTGTTTGGTTAAATTAAATCATGAATCAATTTTAGGTCTATACTATTGCTTTTCCTAGAATGGAATTATGCCTCTGTATCAACTGATTGCTGTGAATTAAGTGAATTAAATAGATATAACTAATTAAAATATAAATGTTTTAGAATTTATAAAGATCTAAATTATAGTTAGATTGAATTTTTACATTGAATTTATATCTTAATTGCTTTTCTTAGAATTAGACTAAAATAATTATCAAAATCCCTCAAATAGGCATGGTAATGGGTCAGACGGGTTATTGTAAATATAAATCATTTGCCGCCACAATACTCAATACAAGTCTAATGGTAGTCATTTTAACTACAAGAAAGAAAATCTCATTATAGTCAATTCCTTTTTTCTGCTAAAAGCCTTTTACTACTAACCTTGTGTTGTATTTCTTACTGTCATCATGTTTTTTCTTGATCTTGAACACCCACTTGTTCTACAATTCCCTCTTTCCTACTAGTAAGTCAGTCAAACACCAAGTTTTATTTTTCTCAAGTGAGTTCATCTCCTCCTGCATGACTAACTCCCATTGAGTTGCATCATCCATATGTAATGTCTCATGATAATACAAAGGTTCCCCATTGTCAGTAAACAACAAGTAATTTGCTGAAAGAGAAAATATGTGAGGAGGTCTAATAACTCTACTAGATCACTTCACTTCAACTATTAGGATGACAACAATGGACTCCTCAATAGTCCTGTCTCTTGAGATCTCACCTTTTTCTACAAGATCATCTTCTGTAATGTTGTCTAACACTACATTTTCCTTCTTTGTTGGCTTCTTTTCAACTTCAGTTTTTGTCTCAATTCTGTCGTTGTACACTACATTTTAATTAAATGTAGTATCTTTGCTTCTAATGATCTTTTTGTTCTGATAATACCAGAAGCGATACCCCATATCATTTGCTCCATAGCCAATGAAAATGCATTTTTTTGCTTTCAAATCAAGCTTGTCATCTCGACATCTTTAACACAAATATAAGAAACACAACCAAATACTTTCAAATGAGAAAGACTTATACTCTTACATTGTCATTTCTCCTTAGGAGTCTTAAATCTGATGGGAACTGAGGGTCCTCGATTAATGAGGTATGCTCACTGTTTCTGCCTAAAATATCTTTGGTAATCCTGCATAAATTCTCATACTCTTTGCCCTCTCATTCAAGGTCTTATTTATTCTTTCAACAATATTAATCTATTGAGGTGTCTCAAGAACAATTTTAAGCATTCTAATTACATTCTCAATAAAGGAATAAACGATTTCAATACTACTATATTCACCACCATTATCAGAAATATTTAATTTTTAATCCTATCTCATCCTCAACAATGACTTTCCACTTCTTAAAGATATTAAAAACTTCTGATTTTTTCTTCAAAAATTAAACCCATATCTTTCTAGTGGAATCATCAATGAAGGTAATATAGTATCGTGATCGCCCCAATGATGAGATTGATGTTGGCCCATACACATCTGTATGAACAAGTTCCAACTTCTCTACCTTGGTCATCCTCCTTGACTTAGCAAAAATAACTCTCTTTTGCTTTCCAAATACACATGGTTAAAAAAAACAACTTCTATCTTTTTAAGTTCTAGAATCTTGCCCTTTAAGACTAGTATCTTCATGCCTTTCTTGTTCATGTGACCAAGTCTTTGGTGTCACAAAGTAAAAGAATGACCAACATCATCACTAATTGAATTTACTTTTTTTGAAGGTAATTTTTTCATGTATAGGGTTCTTTTCTTCCAACCACGAGCAATAATTAGATTACCCTTCACCACCTTCGATTAACCTTCTCCGAATATGACTGGATATACTTGAACATCCAACATGTCCATAGAGTTTAACATTCTCTTGAGTCCTGGAATATATTTGACATCCTTCAAATTCCATACTATACTCATAGAAGTTTTAAGATTTATATCTCTCATGCTTGCAATGTCTAAAGATTCATCATTTACTAGACACACTTTGCCAAAATTCCTACTTCTTAAATTTTTCATCACGTCCTTGCAAGGAAAAACATGGAAAGATACACCAGAATCTATGGTCTAGGATTCAAACTTGCTCTCAGCATAACATATCAACGCATCATCATTGTCTTCTTGTGTTGTATTCACTGTATTATCATACCTCTTTTCTTTAGGAGTAGTACATTGGTTCCTAACGTGTCTGTTCTACTGACAATTCCAACAAGTAATATCCTTGCGAGATTTGGATTGTCCTTGTTTCTTGAACTTTAATCTACCACGCTTAGAGCCTTGTCCTCTTTCAAGCTTTCTACTTTTACTTTCGGTGTTTAATAAGGAATTTGTTGATTTTTTGATGTTCTTTTTACGAACATCTTCATTAAGGATTAAATCCATAATTCCTTCAAAGGTTAATTTCGTAGTCCCAGATGTACTGGTTATTGTCATGGCAGTTCCTGACCAACTATAACAATAACAATTTTATACTTCATCATCAAATTTAATATCCACTGACACTAATCTTGATAATAAGGAATTAAATTTATTCACATGATATGTAATACTAGCATCTTCTTGCATCTTCGTATTAACTAACTGACAAATTAAGAATACTTTATTTGATGTTTATGGCTTATCGTATATGTTTGATAATGTTTGTATCAAACCATAAGTCGTATTCTCGTTGACGATGTTGTAGGCAGTGGCAGATCTTGACCAGTCGATCTGGGGTGCCAATTTTAAAAATAATTATATAATAAAAAATAAAAAATAAGATATTTATTTAAAATTGTGTCCTTCGTTCTTTTAAATATTTGAACTCGTCAATAATAGAATCAGAACTAAAGTTTTCAACTATTTTTTTTAATATAAATGATCAAATTATCTATAAGAATTTCATCTTCCATTCTATTTTACAGTCTTGTTTTGATCATCTTTATTGCAAAAAATGGTCTCTCGATTATAGTTGTAGAAACTGGAAGAGTTAAAATAAGACGAATTACATGACAAATAATAAGCTCCATCACTAGTTAGAAAATACTCTAGCAAAGAAGGAAACATTTTAAACCAACCATATTAAAATCTCCTAGGATGTTTCTCTTTAGAAAAAGGATATTTTTTAAGTTGTATTTGATATGAACCCCAATTTAAATAAGTTCTTCTAATTTCATCTCTTTGACTCATAAGATATTCATGTATCTCGAAGACGTTTTCTTGGGTCACGCTCTAAAGAATTAATATTAAATTCATTGGTTTTAATTCTATGAATATTAGAAAGATGTTCTTCTAATTGAATAATTTGATCATCAATATCATGCTTTGAAATAGGAGAAGATATTGAATTTGTTTGATTTTCATCTCTACAAATATCTCTTTTATCACTTTTAAAAAATGAATCTATTATTTTATGCTTCATATCTAGAAAAAAATGAATCTATTATTATTTTTCTAATATATCATAAAAATTTATAAAAATCAAAAATATTTTTCTCAAACAACAAATGTTCCTCAACAAAATCAAAACAACAAACAATAATAGAATAAGTAGTGTCAAAAGATGAAGAAAAAGTACCTTTATCAATCAATATAATTTCAAGGATGGAATCTGAGGAGGGAGGAAGAGAGACGAACAATGAATTTGAAAGTACAAACTATAGAAACAATTTAATACTAATTAATCAATATTACCGTTAGTGAGAAAATATAAAAAGGTGAGAAAAGATGAAGAACTACTTTTAATATTTCTTATTTAATATATTCCTTAGAAATTAGAGAAGCAATTAAATACTTATAAAATATTATTGAGAGAGTATGAAAAAGTGAGAGAAGATGAAAATGTCAGATAATAAAATTATTTTTAATCTTTCTTATTTAATTTATTTCTTCAGCTTTTTTCTTTATGATATATTTAATATTGGAGGGAACAAAATCATAAATATACAAGTAAGTTACAAAACTTTGGGGGTCATGCCCCCTTAACTACTATGAAGATCCGCCACTAGTTGTGTAGACAACATTCTTCGCCAATGTTAATTTGATGATGCCTAAAACTTGTCGATCTAGTAACTCCCAATCTACCCGAGACATCGTTTCTAATTTATTCTCAAATAAAGG